AGGGGTCTGGCTTGCTGCTCTCGAACCTGCTCCGCCTGTTCTTGGAGTACCAGGCACAACTATACGAGACGCCGATCCCGTCGTCGTTTTCTTGACGATGGCCTCTTCTGCAACCTTTTTCGCAGTCCTGACACAAAAGAAACATAATTAGCCTTATTCCCAATTCCAGTCGGAAATTTGATCTCGGTCACGTACTCTTCTCGTTGTCTTGCCATCTCCATCTCCAGTTCTGCCTTTTTGGAGAACTCGCGGTCCGCTTTGCGACGCATACCGCGATCGTCGAAGTTCTTCTCCTTGACAGAGAAGAATACAGAACCAAGTTCCGCTATATAGTCGTTCAGAAAAGTTGAACGAAATAATGCATGTGTGAACAAGCTTACCCAGCCAATATGCATCGACAGCGGTTACCTGCGTCATGTATTCCTTTGATGTTAGGATGAGCTCGTGGTAGACGACGTAAGTTGGCGTATCTGTAAGTGCATGAGTAACCTTTTGATCAAAAAATACTACTATACTGACATCCAAGGCCATACAATGCACTGGTAGGATGCAAGTGGGTCGGTAACCTGGCGAGCAAATGAATGAGCGACAGTTAGAGCAAACGAGCGAAACTATATTCACCCTGTTCGAATGTTCACAAACTCGCCGATACCCTTCACTCTCGCAGCTTGGTGGAAATATCCCGCGGCGATGGCTTTGCGAATGACATCGAAGTCGGTACCACCGGATATGATTGCCATCTTTTGCATCTTCATGATGTCCTCTAGTTGTGCTCGAACTTCACGGGCCTTTCGAAGGAGCTTAGGATGTAAGAAATGACGCATAGACCATTCGTCACGGAATCTGACAGTGCCCACTAAAGTCAGCTCTCTATACTTGTTGAATCAATGTTAGGACGCTCACCCGTGGCTCTTCCACTGATTGAAGACGTTAAGGAGCGTAAGGTGATCACTTTCAGGAACCGAAAACTTCTCGCGTGCAGCATCCGCTTCTTCCATCCTCTCCTTTGGCCGGTAAAACACGCTAGGAACGCTCAGCATGCTCACGATGGTAAGCATCTCGGATGAGCACTTGTACTCGACGCTAGCGATGAGCATCTTCGCCATGGACGGCTCCATCGGGAACTCGCTCATCTTCCGTCCAACGGGTGTAAGATCACCAACATTGTCGAGTGCGCCAAGGACCCATAATTGATACATTGAGTTGAGGATGTTTGATTGCGGTGGAGGATCCATGAAATCGAACTCCAATAGATTCTTCACTCCGAGCGATTTGAGAAGGAGGACGGTATTCGCAAGGTTTGTACGCTGGATTTCGGGGATGGTATTTGCGAACAATTCGTTTCTATAGGCCATTTCGGTGTAGAGGCGATAGCAGAACCTGGCAATGACGAGCTTAGATGACAACCAGGGCAGTTACTTTGAAAAAGTCTTACCCGCTCCCAGTACGTCCGGCACGACCCGTTCTTTGATTAGCATTCGCCTGGCTGATGGGCGTTATTTGCAACGCGTCCATACCAACTTTCGAGTTGTACACTTTGAGCTTGCTGTATCCCGCATCCACAACGTAGTGAATACCATCAACTATTTAAACATTGTGAGCGGATGACCAGACTATATGCACAAGAAGTGCTCACCAGTAAGCGACGTCTCTGCAATGTTTGTCGCAACGATGACTTTTCTGCGACCATCTTCAGTCGCCTCGAAGATCTTGGCTTGCAAATCAGCAGGCATCTGTGAGTAAATGGGAAGTACGGCGAGCGGTGCAGGGTCGTCCAATTGCGAAAGCCGTTCTGAAATCAAAGCTTCAGAAAACACCAACGCGGGTCAAGTGCATTAATACCTTGGACAACCTGGCAAGTAATCTCAATGTCTTCTTGTCCCGTCATAAAGACAAGGATATCGCCGGGAGGCAATGATAAGTGAATCTTGAGCACCTGCTTGACCGCGCTGTCCACGTAATCTTCACATGGCGACTTCGAATGATACGTTTCGACAGGGAATGTTCGACCAGGGATCGTATAGCATGGAGCATTGCCGTAGAAGTTCGAGAACTACAAGAGAGATCAGGCTCGAAGATCACAGAAAAATCACTCGTCAAATATTACCTTCTCCGCATTCATTGTCGCTGAAGTTACAATGAGCTTCAGATCTCTTCGACGGGACAAAACTGCAACGCCATGAGTGTTTTCTCCAAAAATAGATATAAGTGAAATGACTGACTTTTACGCAGTAAACCCATAAGCACATCCGTACTCAAAGAACGCTCGTGCGCCTCATCCAATATGATAACGCTGTATCGGTCCAGGTCACCTTCGTTGAGAGACTCACGAAGTAGAACACCATCCGTCATGTCTACGAGACCCTTCAATATCATATCCTCCAACAGTGTATTTAAACCCACATTTGATCACAGTTTCTTGAGATGTACAGTCCTCGAAGCGGATGGCGTATCCGACTTTCCCTCCCAGTTTGCACTTCACAAAAAGTCAGCACTAACAAGGAATCCACTGAAAAAGTGCATTTACCTCCATTTCCTCACTGACACGCTTCGCGACTGACATTGCCGCTACACGACGAGGTTGCGTGCATCCGATTATTCCATTCACGCAATAACCATCTTCGTAAAGAAATTGGGTTAACTGGGTAGTCTTCCCCGAGCCTGTTTCTCCGACGACGACAATGACCTGATTGTCCCGAATGACTCGCAGAAGCTCTTCTCGACAGGCAAAAGCTGGGAGGTATTCACGCTGTTCCTTGAGAGTACGGTTCTTGGCAAAATTGGACGTTGCAGTCTGAGTTTTCAGGTGGCTCGCAAACTTCGATTCTCCCTTGAAGTCGTCTTCGCCCGCTGCGGCCTTCTTCTCGGCTTCGGCTGCCCCAACGAAGATAAAGCTTTGTGAATGTCCAACCCGCGAAAATAATAGGAGAAGAAAGGGATGATAAACGCACCTTCAGCCTCCGCCTCCTCATCTTTGACTCCCATGACGTTCCCTAAGGCTGTCCCTCCCAAAGAAGCCATCTTCGCTGCGGCCTTTTGACGCTCAGCTTGTTCTCGTTTCTCGCGGACGAGTGCTGAGCCCTTCTTCGCGAAGACAGCCATGTCAGAGGTAGGATCTCGGACAGGATTGATAGGTTCCAGCTGTTTCGTGAAGACGGTCTTCCCGTCCAGGAACGGCGGCTTCAAGTCGTGCACCATAACATGTACTGCAGACTCGGAGTCTTCGTCTTGGTTGAAATCGAGATCGAGAGCTGCACGAGTTGCAACACCTGATGTGACCATTCGGTTGGCCTCCCACAGATCGTTGTCTTTGTTCTGTTCAAGATGATAAATCGTCTGAATGTGATCCGTGCGTAGCGAACTCACATATTGCGCTTGCTTTGCAGACACCCTTTTCACAGCCCGAGTAGCAAGTTCTGCAGTCTTGAGTTGCTCGAGGTCCGAGTAAGTACTCAACGGGTTATGTTCTTCGTCTCCTACGACGCCTCCTTCCTCAGCTCCCATATACCAATCCCGATCGAGTCGAATTTGCTCCTCCTCCCATTCGTGAGCATCAAGAGTGATTTGCCCATCTCCCTCTGGTGACTCCCCACGAGCAGCACGAGGTGTCGGCGCGTCCCAGCCTCGGTTTCGAGCACCACCCCATCCACCAGCTCCTCCCTCAGCACCACTCCGTGGTGTTGCATCCCAAGCAGCATTTGGAATGCGAACACTCGGGCCGTCGTCATCTCTTCCTCCTCGAACGGATCGAGGGGTAGCATCCCAATCATTTCGACGTCCGTTATTGTCGTCCCGACCATTGCGGCCTGCCCAACCTCGATCGCGGTCGCGATTCAGTCGACGCTGGAAGTCACCCAGTCCTCGAGGAGCATCTGCTCGAGGCTCCTCTCGGGCAGATAATCCCTCTAATTCCCGTGAAGCTCGTTGGTGGGTGATTGAGAGTCAATGTGATGTATTACGCACCCTTCTCTCTTGTCCTCCGACGATCTTCCAGCCTTTTTCGTGCTATCTCTGACAGTCCACCCGGATGAGAAGGTGTATCCTCGACTCGTTGTCGAGCGTTAAAGTTGCGTGATGCAGGTTGAGTGGGCACTTTACAGTCGTTAGTATGAAGCCCTGTTGATTCGGGAATCAAGAAACGCACTTTTAAAGAGCGAATCATCGCGCGTTCTTTGCCTTTTCTTATCCGAAGACTCCAAAAGAGCAGCAGCAGCTCGTTTTTCCTGTGCAAGTCTGTCCAGTCCTAACAGAGAAACTCCAGCAGGTCGAGGCGTAGGTGGCTCGATCGGTTTGGCTGGTTTACGAAACGTATGTTGCTGGAAGTTGGTCAGATCATCTCTTAACTACCTACGTCACATCACGCACCGTATCAGACCTCACAAGGCCACCTTTGCGCAGAGGCTCTGGCTCGAGCACATCGCTGTCGTGAACAACGATACCAGCTACCGGCGTCGGTACAACACCAGTTGTCTCCTGCTTCAAGTGTGTAACGATATCGTCATGTAGTTCGGTCAAGAACACAGGCTTGAACTTCCCGAAAGTACTTGAAGCTGACGCAGAACGTAAGTCAATGAGATACGAGGCAGTCAACCATGGTCCGCACCCTTGATGAATCCTTCGACATTGTTGGTTTTGGCGATGTCTATGACATTGCGCGCAAGGAGATCATTCGGATTGATTATGTTCAACGCTCGGGAAAGTTTGACAGCTACTTCGTGTACAAAGGCATCGTGAGCAGACTGCTTTGTGTCGCGCGGCGGGGAGGTGTTCATGAAAGTTGAGAGGAAAGGGATATCGAAGCACCGCCAGCACTCCCAAGTCAAGTTCACTTCACAAATACACGTACGCCGATTCACAACAATTATCGACAATGCAACGCAGCAATAGAAACAAAAAAATATATCCTCCCAATCGTCCACAAGAATTACTCGAAGACAGGTGCATGTATATGTACTTGTCATGCAGACAACGATATTGAAAAGACATCGAACAAAAACATTTGAGCACGGCAGGGCTCGAACCTGCAGCCTTTAGGTAGCGAGGCAATCGAAGCCTAACGCGCTACCATTGCGCCACGTACCCGACACCGAAAGGTCTTACGCATAATATTGATAATTGTTAATTTAACTTCCGTTCAGTCGTTGTCCTTCAAGTTCAAATGCTTGACTCGTCCTCTCTTCCTCTAAATCTCACCTGTATGATACTTTGCCATCGAGCTTTTGGGATAAGAGGTACAATCACCTTACTCAAACTGGTGGTATAACTCTCTAGATCGCGTCACCGCAGTATCCACCGACGCCGAACGGCTCTGTAGTGATATCGACTCGGATTTCACGTTTGCAGCCGTCGGCCCATCAAACAACAGTGCCAGCCTGTTGGCAAAATACTCGTAGTGCCCTAGCTCATGGATGAGGCAAGACTATCATGGATGAATCGATACCTGTTTTTTTAATCAAGAATCTCAAGATTTTGCCTCAGGCTCCTACCTCTGCGCTACCCAGCATCAAGGAACTGCGGTTTTCTTCGCTCGCTCGACTGCAGAATGCGGTAGACTATCTTCACCTTCTATATCTTCCGGAGGTCCGTGGATCGCAGAGGCGCCGAAAAACTCGAAGAAAAGATATTGGTCTCAGACCCTCGTGCCAAACGTCGACACGCGCATCGGATATTCAATCGATTCGCTCGGATGCCTTTGAACGCGCGTTTTCGCTGCGTTGGTTAACTGCCCTTAACAAGGTCCTCACAGAAAACTATGGAAACTTATGCGATGATAGTACTCAAGACGTGTCGGACGCCATTGCCAGCAGTGATGACGAACGGCAGAAACTAATCGACAGGGCAGCATCCCTCCTGGCCAGTTGTTCTGGCGCGTCCGCTACCGGAATCATCTCTCGCTGCTTCAAGTTCTCACCTCTAGGCGATCAAAATAATTCGCCTATCTCCGTCTTGCTCACAGACGTTCCCTTAATCAATGCCGATTACGGGACTGTTGGTGCGCAGACTTGGGGTGGAGCATGCGTGCTCTCAGAGATGCTTGTCGAAGATCCGGGCTCATTTGGCCTTGTACCGCCCTCAGAAATTTTGCAGTCACAGCATACCCTTCGAATTCTTGAACTGGGATCCGGTACGGGGCTTGTGGGATTGTCGATCTCGAAGTTGTTCACGCAAATTTCGACTTCTTCTTTCGCCGCCTCCGATCCGGAGGTGGTCGAATCCCTTTCGTCGATAAGGAAGGTGGAAATTGTCCTCACGGACTTCCACCCTGTTGTTCTCGAGAATCTACGTCGAAATGTCGAAGCAAATGTCGCCTCTTCCAATGGACAAGCGGGTGGGAGTAGACTCGAGGTGGATGTGAGAGTGAGGCGGCTGGATTGGGAAGCTGTCTATCGTGCAGGAAAGGGGGATTCTTCCGGAGTTAATGAAGGCGAGGGTCAGGGCGCTGCAGATATGAAAGTGGACCAACGATTCGACCTCATTTATGGAGCCGATATCATTTATGAAGAGCATCATGCGGTATGGATTCGTGCGTGTCTCGAAAAATTGTTGGCAAGAACCCCCTCCGCGGCCTTTCACCTCATTATTCCCTTACGCTCGACGCATGCGGAGGAATCAAGCACCATTGCGCGTACATTTCCTCGCAGCAGCAGCTCCACGATGTCAAGCAACCCATCTCCGGACTGTCCCAGTGATATCGAAGAGCAAGCAGCCTCCGCCAATGATAATTCAGGAAGACATCTCGTCGTTAAATCTGAGGAGAAAATTATCTGTGATGCATTACCGGACAATGCAGCGGGTAAAGCAGCCTACGACGGTGCAGACGAGGTCGTATACGTTTATTACAAAATTGGATGGGAAGATCTACCATCCAAGAGGTTCTTACAATAGCAAACATTGTCCATGTAGAGGGCTTTCAAATTTATTTCTACATTATTGAGTGGCAATGGTGTAGACGTTTTATTTCCAATATTAGAGCATTTGCATCGCCGTAAGAAAATTTCCGACTTGACCTTACCGGCAACCGGCTTTTGATTATTTGGCTCGAGGGCTGTCGGCTTTTGGGACAAACAACAACATTGGAAGTTCGGCAAACATTTCCTTTTCGCCACCACCATCCTGGCGTCCAACGAGTTCAGATCAAAGGCTGCCAATGCGAAATGACATAGAATTCAATGACTTGGTACACACTCGGATTCGGGAGACAATCCAGAGGTTGCAGGAGCCAGTCTCCGATGAGGTTGAACTGCTCGCCTTGCTCGCCGCTCCTCTCGACGCGCTAGGAATTCTTCCTCCTCCTTTCCGCACCTTTAACTCACATCCATTCGACACCAAGGGCACTTTCGACGTTTACAAGCTCGTGCCTCAGATTCAAACCGCGATACTGCGGAATGTAGCGCCCGCTTGGCTTCAGTCACTTCAAGAACGAAATCGACACGAAATCTTATATCAATATTTCAGCCCGGACTTGTTCTCGTCGTCTTCGAAGATCGCCATAGACATTGCACTATGTGCATACGGGACCACTCTCTCGACTTCTCTCCAACCAGTTTCTATCGAGCTGATCAGGCGACTGTCCAAAACCTATCCGATCGACAAACTATTCCTTGGCCTTTTCTCTGCATCGTCAAGCTGCGTATCCCATAGGAAGCTCACGGTTTGGGAGGATCATGTTAGAGATTTCTTTGCGGCACCAACAAAGGTGGCGAACTTCGTGAAAGATGGCGAAATACCTGTCGAACTCGGAAGGCGCGAATACTTCTCGAACGTTTCAATTGCGGTGGAACGCCTTGTTTACTCTCTACCGGAAAACATTCCAACAAGTAAGTAAAACGAACCAACGCTCTTTAGGGTCATTCTCATCAGTATCAGCATCTCTCAGTGCGCTGACCATCATTTTCTCAAAGATGGTCAACCTTGGACTATTTACGAGGAACAGGATCACCGAGTCGACTATGGAACCCGGGTTCTTCGCGGTTCTTCCGCGAATAAGGGACCGACTTTCCCAGCTGAACTCTGATAAGCAGTCTATATACTCTTCTGCCTGGTCAACCATCTGGTCGTCACTCCCTCCGGCGCAACTTTCCAAGGTCATCGAAGCGCTTTTCGCAAATCTGACAGGTCTACCTGATGTTCTTAGCACGTCATCTGAAGCTCGGAGTCTCGTGAAGCGCGAGGCGAGATTAGTTTCCCTTCTCATGGGCTACCTGGAGGACGAAGACGATGGAAAATGGACCGCTATTTCTTCGTCACTGCTTTCTCGGAACTTCGTCGCAGAAAATGCTCGAATAATCGTATGCTGGGCAGCAATTAGCGATGAATATGGTGAGTTTGATACCTGCATATTTTTTTGAGTGAGAAGAAAGGTGCTAAACACGGGCAGTCATACCCAAACGTGCTTTGGAAAGCCTTTTAGACAAAACTCTTGATATTTGGTCTTCACCCGAACACATCAAGCACTCGCTTCTCTCGCAGCATCAAGGTAAATGAAATTCACGAATACATACGTTAATTTGACCTCTTCAGCCCTTACGCTTGCGTTCCTCCTGGCAGCAACCGCGTTTAAAAAAGGCGCCGAGTCTATTCAAGCCCTTTCTCATTCCCCCGCGTTCATACAGGCAATTGGAGTATACCTGACACACCTCGATCCTGCTGTCAGAAGGTGCGGCATGCTGGTGGCAGAGATCGTAGCGAAGCAGACAGGAAGGACCTTAGACTTCGGTGACTGGGAGAGAGAAGGCGAGGGGCGAGAATGGTGCAAAGCCGTTCGTGCGCTCATAACTTCTCGAGATGTAGATGCAGAAGATGCATCCTGGATCATCGAACGCCTCGAGATACCGGGCATTGACGACACTGGCTCGTCGATCAAAGAGGGGCCTGAAAATGTGAAGAAATCTCTCACTACGTCGAAGCCCATCATTGAGGTACTAAATTCTGGGTACGATTCCGACGATTCTCTCGAAGGCTATGCGTCACCATCTTCGTCTCGCGCCGCCTCACCAACTCCCTCCGAGATGGAGGAAGTCGAGAAGGACCCTACTTTAAATGTAGGGGTGAAGAAAATTCAAAAGCCAGTTTATCTCGCAGACCTGGGAATCATGTTGCAAGCTAGCGCGAAATCTGACGACCCTCAAGCTGTGGACAGAATCGAAGTCGCGTTAGGCTGCGCGGAGGACCTCATCAGGCGAAAGCGGAATTTCGGTCTAGAGCTGGGTAAGTGATATTCTCTTTTGATGATCACCGCCTGGTAGCAATTAATCTTCATATGCGTATGTTCTAGATGAGAACGCGGTCAATCTCACTCACGCTCTCGTCGGCCTCCAAAACAATTTTGAACTGGAGAACTTTGATGAAAGAAGACAAGCCGCTGTCACAGCGCTTGTAGCATGTTGTCCACGCAAGGCCGCGCCGTGAGTAGAAACATATCAAAAACATGTTGTTCAAACCATTCAGTTCTGACCTTGTGACCAACAGAACGATTGTCGAGCAGTTCTTTGGCAGCCAGTATTCAACAGAACAGAGGTTCGTAATGCTTACGGCATTGGCTATGGGAGCTAGAGAGCTTGCGTCGCTACCGGTGCCGCCTCCTACGTATGATCGACCTTCGATCGATTTCCCAAGCAGACAGCTACCGGCCCCTCTTCACAGAAAATATCTCACCGACAGAGAACATGATCCCACTGCTCAGGTTCGTCAACTCGTCGACAACATAAGCCAGGCGGCGGCCCAGAGCGGAAAGGAAGCAGCAGAGGCGAAGGTGCCCCAAATCATACGCGAACGGCAACTTCGCTTGAAGAAAGGATCGAAGGTCGAGGAGGTCCAGACTTCAAACAACAAGTCTCAGCTCGCCGTTCGAGACTCGAGAAAACAAACAGGCGACACATTCACCAGTGTCGCGGCGGAGTATTTCCTAGGCCCGATTATTGCGAAATTTTGGCAGCATCTACGGGACGAACAAACACGAGAGGAGCGAACGGCGTTACGGTCGTCTACCTCATCGTACCGCGGTGCCGGGACGGGGCTCGTCCTAAACCCCCTCGTCCTCTCGCAGCTGGTCAATACCCTCGCGATCCTCGTTCACGCCGCTC